TGCTAAAATAACTGTTATGGTTAAGGAGTCCAAGATTTAAGAATTGTGAGTAAATGGATCCTCCACAGCTGCAAAATCAAGGAATGCTTTCAGAATCAAGACCCTTTTAAAATGGATTAAGAAAGTTCACACCTATCTCTTTCAGCATGACTACAGATTTCGGAAAGAAGCCAAGTACCAGTTTTAAAACAGAATTTTGAAGACCTTTCCTGTGGATTTCTGTAGACTATTTCAGAAAATAATCCTGCATGCTTTATTCACAGATTTCAATTTTCCTAGGTAATAATAAGGACTAAAATCTAAGATTTTCATTCAGAAGCCATGATATTTAAATTCAATAAGAGTGCATTCTGAAAAATCTGCCAATACTAGGAAGTTTATCCTAAGGACCAAACTACCCTAAAAGTGTTTGTAATGTTACCTGGACCTCCTCAACTCTTGCCATGTCTCCAAGACAATTTTTATTAGTTTGACATTGAAGAGCAGTATTGATATTTCACTTAGCTCACCCACAGAGGGGAAAGAGAAAATCTGTTGACACTTTTCATAATTTGCTTTTGTTTTCCGTTATGTAGCAGCAAAATGAAGCAAACCTACCACACTGCAACATCTGGGGAGGAAAGGAATAACGGGTCAAATATACTATAGGTACTACTTCATCCTATTTAGCAAGTCTCTGTCAGTCTACATATTTGCATTTTTAAAATATTTTGCAGTATGGAAACATGACTTTTTTTAAAAAGATCCTTAGGTGAGAATAATAAGAAATATACCCCTCTTTACTATTGTCACTTTACATGGTAAATTAAGCATTTCAGTGAGAATATAGTTTTGACACTGGAAGCCTTTACTTTAATTTATACAATAAATTATATAAATAAAATCTCTATGAAAATAACCAACAAAAACATCAAACAAATATTCTCAATATACGTATGTTAGAATGTTAACAGTAAAAGTACTATTAATTTAAAGCCATCCCCCCAAGTTTAAGCATCTTTTGTCCATTCATGCCACTTCTCTTCTTTAGTGTCAGGTACAGGTACCTCTAAAGAAGGGCAGCTGCAGCATAGCATAAAACCAACAAAGACCACAAACAGCAGTTGATACAAGAGTGAATGAACTTAAAAGTCAAGTACCATTTTCAAGATGGTGAGATGTATGCAGAATGGTATGTATGAAGAGAGTATGTAAAAACTACTCTGGAAAAAAGTAATGCCACCTTAAATTTTCTGGTTAAAATACAATTCTCCAAATTTATCAAAGCAATTATATAGTCACAAGAGACCTATACAAAAGCATGTTAGCCATAAAATTCAATTGTGCATATACTATCCACCTATTATGTCAGGTAACTAAACTAAAAAGTGATTAAAATATAATGGTGATGTAATGAAGCATTATTACAGAGACACTGAAAGCAACAGCTGTGTTAAAATTGGATTCTAAATATACCTATTAGTGTAAACACCTTTAAGAAGATCTTTCTCACTTCTTAAAACAATTGCCTAGCAGTTTAAGTTTTTATTAACAAAAAGTTAAACCTGCAGCTGACGTGCTTTTGAAACCCCCCACATCTCAAATGGAGCAGCAAGGGCCCACGTCCCGGGGGAGGGTGGCTGCAGGGTGACCTCCAACCTCTGTGCAGCCAATCGCCTGTGCTCCCTACTGCCATGTTGGAGCCTCCGTATTTATTTATTGACAAATAAAATTTGCAGAATTTTAAAATAGTGTGTGCAGAATTTTTATTTTTTTGGTGCAGAACTCCCTCAGGAGTAGCAGGTGAAGTAACTAACCAGGGTTACCAGCCTCACACGAGGTGTGGGCAGGCAGGCTCAGCCTGGCAGGACTTAAGTGTGGAGGGATCCAGGAGTGAGGAGAGAGGGTTCTATGTGGATCAATCTGGGTGTGGGTGGCTCAGGAGGGGATCTAGATGCACAGGGGCTCTAGGACTCTGCAGAGGGGGGTCCAGGTGAAGGTGGTTGGGACTCAACAGGGGGTTCTGGGTGTAGGAAGATGGGGCTCAGGAGGATGGCTCCAGGTGCTGGAGGAGTGGGGCTTGATGGGGTTGGGGTCCGGGTGCAGCAGGTTGGGGCGGTCCGGGCAGAGGTGGTTGTGGAGTAGTCCAGGTGCATAGGGGATGGTGCTCATCAGTGTGTGGGTTTGAGTGTCTGGGGTGGGGTTTGGTTGGGGGAGCTGGATACACAGAAGTTGGGTGGACAGGGGAGTAGCTCCCTATACAGTGACCCCTCCCCCTGCAGTTGAAGAGCAATGGAGGCAGGAAGTGGGTGGGAGAGGGGAGATACAGAGGTTTCTGGGAGTGGGTCTGACCCAGACCCAGACCCAGCCGTTCTGTGCAGGGCAAGTGCACTCCTTCCTCCACCCCAGGTGGGACTAGCCACTGAGTCCAGTGCAGAATGGGAGCCACCGGTCAGGGTGGGGCTGGGGCTCGGTGGGGCTCTGGATGCAGGGGATGAGGCTTGATGGGGTATAGATATAGGGGGTCCGCAGCCCCAGCCAGAGCATCCCCAGCCCTGCACTGCCTGCAGTGACTTACCTCTCCACTGGCTGCACGCGAAACGACTTGCCCATGCTGTTGGGTACGGGAGCATGACTGCTCTGGCAGCTTCTCTTTGCTTCCCTGTCAGAAAGTAATTTTTCTTCAGGGAAGCACAGAAATCTGCATGGGACATGCATTCTGTGCATACGCAGTGGCGCAGAAAACACTTCAAGTTTTGTGGCTTGGCTACTACAGTAGCATTAGAAATATTCAACGCCACAGGAATTTACAAAAAAATCTGAGAACGCTACATTTTACACAGTAGCTATTTAGAAAAGAACAGAGATAATAGGTTATGGCAGTGTTTGTAATGAGAAAAAGTAGAAATTCAGGCGACTAGTTTAAGGATGTCTTTTTGTCTACTAATAAGCTAGACAGGGCAGGTCTGACATCTTCCTATACATCTGTGTAGTACCTAGCACACTGGCTGCATTGTCTCTAGGAAAAAAAGGTGTGTTAACTTGGGTGAGTTAACATATACAAGCTAAAGCCTTCATGTACATATAAAACATTTGGATAAATGGTTTCAGACAATGAAAGGAAATGACAAAATATAAACCAGGTGTTCTCAAAATGGGGGTTGGGACCCCTCAGGGGTTGGGAGGTTATTACATGGGGGTTGCAAGCTGTCAGTCTCCACCCTAAACCCCGCTTTGCATCCAGCATTTATAATGGTGTTAAATATATTTTAAAAGTGTTTTTAAATTTATAAGGGGGGGGGGAGCTGGCCACACTCAGAGGCTTCCTATGTGAAAGATAAGCTATTACCAGCAGGAGAGTGAGTTTGTGTAGTATGGGGGTGGGGGGGGTGAGAAAACCTGGATTTGTGCTGGAAATGGCCCACCTTGATTATCATACACATTGTGAAGAGAGTGGTCACTTTGGATGGGCTATTACCAGCAGGAGAGTGAGTTTGTGTGGGGGGGGGGGGGGCGGAGGGTGACAAAACCTGGATCTGTGCTGGAAATGGCCCAACTTGATGATCACTTTAGATAAGCTATTACCAGCAGGACAGTGGGGTGGGAGGAGGTATTGTTTCATGGTCTCTGTGTGTATATAATGTCTTCTGCAGTTTCCACAGTATGCATTCGATGAAGTGAGCTGTAGCTCGCAAAAGCTCATGCTCAAATAAATTGGTTAGTCTCTAAGGTGCCACAAGTACTCCTTTTCTTTATGTGAAAGGGAGTCACCAGTACAAAAGTTTGAGAACCACTGGTATAAACGGACCTGGGAAAGGCTTTAGGATAATGCCTGGGGGACCGTGGTGTGTCACGGACATGGAGAAGAGGAAATGGAAGCAGAAGCGGCGCGCAATGGAAAGCGCAATCTAGCAGTAAACGGCGAGTCTCCGGAGCACACTGAAGTTTAGGAAACTGCTTCCCGAAGTGCAAGAAGAGGGCTCGGGTGTAACGACCAGCCTGTAACGTGCCAGTTCAGCTGCCACCACGACCAGTATCCAAAAAGAGCCGCGCGTGCCGCCGCGAGCGCGCCCCGAGGACACCCTCTCGGGGCGCCCGTTCCGATGCCAGGGGAACCGGCGCTGAAGGCAGCGGCACCGGCGAGACCCCCCGGGGTGGGGTGGGGGGGTGAGACTCTCTTCCACGCTGGCGGCTTTTCCCCCTAAAAAGTTCCCACAGCTGCTGCCAGCGGGCTCTGCGCCAGCGGCTCCCGAGCGCGGACGCGTTGCGCTGCTCACGGCGGCTGTCGCCAGGGCCCGGCCTGAGACGCGGGCGCTGGGCTGGGCTGGGCTGGGCGGGGCGGCTACGCGCCAGTAGCCAGACTGCCCGAGCGCGCTCGCCGCCGCCGCCGCCAGCGGGGGCCGGCCCAGCAACGGCGGCAGGCCCGCGGGGCGGCTCGGCGCAGGCGCAGCCCAAAAGCGGCGGCGCGCGCGCCTGTCATCGGAACAGCGGCTCCGGGTCGCTCGGTACCCGCCGTAAGAGCGCGCGCGTGGGGGGAGGGGGGAGAGGCACAGAGCGCACAGACTGGGAGGCCCCAGGCTAGAGCGCACTGCGTCACGTGCCCCCGCCCCGCCCATCGGTTATCGGAGGAGGCGGGGCGGGTTCGGGAACCAGCCTCGTTCCCAGGGGAGGACATGAACTACCAGCCCCCGCCTCTTCCCCCGCAACGAGTCGCCGCGCGCGCGAGGCCCCGCCCAGGGGGCCGGAGGAGGGCGCGGCCCCCACCCCGGCCGCGAGTCCCGCACTCACCTGCGGCGGCTCCTCACATCCCCGCCGAGGGGCGGCCCTGGCCCGGCGCGGGAGGAGGGAAGGTGGGGCTGGTCCCTGCGCGCTCCGCTGCCATGGAGAACCCGGCGCCGACTCGCGACTCACTCTTCCGGCCCGGGCCGTCACAGCCGGCGGAAGGGGTGGGGCCAGCGCGGGGATGAGACAGCGGTGGCCCCGCCCCAGGAGCCCTAACCACGTGACCACTCCGTGAACGGGGAGGGGAGGGGGCGGGGCGGACGCCCAGGCCTAGCCCTGGCCGCGTGTGCGCGTCCGCCGCAGCCGGCCTGGTCTGGGGCCAAGCCCCCTGCGCCCGCTGCCTGCCGGCTGGAGCCCAGGGTCCGCGCTGCGTGGGGCCCGGGCGCCGAGGCGGGAGAGACGGGGGTGGCTTAGGGGACCCGCTGCGGCAGGTGGGAGCCAGAAAGCGCTTTCCAGCCGCGCCCGGGGCGGAAGAATTGCTCTGTGCAAGCTTGTCTCTGTCCGCGACTGCGGTGGGGACGGTAAAAGACACCACCTGCCTCTCCCACCGTGTCGCAGGACGGGCAGGTCCTGATCTGCTGTCAGTGCCGGGAACCAGAGCTGGGGGTACGAGCTCGCCTCCTCCAGCAAACATTAATGCTACCATGAACTGGACAGAAAGGAGCACAAGGTGAGGAGGCGAGTTATTGGACTGAGGGTACCTGTTCCTTTCCTAAAAGAAAAGGAGGACTAGTGGCACCTTAGAGACTAACCAGTTTATTTGAGCATAAGCTTTTGTGAGCTGAGAAGCTTATGCTCAGATAAATTGGTTAGTCTCTAAGGTGCCACAAGTACTCCTTTTCTTTTTGCGAATACAGACTAACACGGCTGTTCCTCTGAAACCTGTTCCTTTCCTGACCAGCTCACACCAACCGTAGTTTTTATTTCAACACAGATAGGCAGATTAGTTATCCCCAAACCCTCTCCCTCCCAGGCACAGTCCCCAAATAGTTATCCAGGTCAGCCGCAGCCTCCTTTTTCTAAAAGTTAACATAAAACCTGACAGACAGCAGTGAAAGATTTAAAATCTTTAAGGGAAAAAATGGGTTATGCGATGGGATAAATTGCATTGTCCTTTACTTTTCAAATAACAGAGAGAGAGGCTGTTAAATATTTTCTGTAACTTATCTTCCCTTTTCCCACTTTTTTTCCTTACTACTTTATACTTTGGTCAAAATATATTTTCCCTTATGCACTACAAGTACTGTTTTTGCTTTAATGTCTTGGGTATATTTTATACTCTGATTAGTTGAGCCTCTTTCTCAACCTGACACAAGAGTGATACACCCAACTTTAACAGCTCATAGCCTTAGGACCCAGGGGTTGGGGTGTTTTTGGACAAGACTACAATATTCCTCCTGAGATGCTCTAAAATTTAAACTGCAGGACAGCCTTTGTGTAAGGGGACAGTCCAAAACTACAAGTGACAGTGTGCATATGGAGAAAGCATAGTGGCATGGTTGTTACCTTTTCAGAGGGGGTTAGATTCTGTTTACCTCTGTGCCTTGCAGCCAGTATTGTCTTTCCAACCTCTTTCAAAGGTCAACTTGGCTCCTTGTTGCTCTTCTTTGTAAATGGTTGCATCTGGCTTGCTTTTTTATTTTTCAAACAACAGATAGTCTTTTTCTCTCTGAGGTAGCTTACTGTATTTCCTCACCAAGTGACTTCTCATTGAATTCAGTCTTAACATTAGTAGTCAAAAATGCCCCCTCCCTGTACCAGACATTATAATAGCATACTGAGGATTCAAGGGATGTTTTTAAATTCTAGGCCTATTTTACTCCCCATTGCATTTTATCGTGTGGATAAAAGATTAAAACGAGTGTAAAAATCCTAACATTAAATGTACACGCTTGTAAAAACTATTGCCCAAGTAAGCAAATATGTAAAGATCTGAATTGTTGTGTAACTTTGTGCCTCAACAGCCTTGGGTCCAGTGCAAAAATGAATTAAAGAAAAAAATAAAATATACTGTGCAAAATGGTGCAGTGTGAAACAGAGATGTGTATAAATGCATTACATCTGAGAAAGCTCAGTGTTTTAAGTGTTAAAGCAAGTATTTTGGAGAATGTTGGATCCTAAAACTGATTGAGCTAGCCTAATCTTGGACACATCTTTCTTTGACTCTCAATCAACACAGGAGAGAAACTGAGTAAACATAGGGAAATAAGTACAAAATCAGAAGTTGCATCCCCATCCTCAAAAATGTATGATTTAAAACTTTCCATAATTTATTAGAGCAAAGGTTTGCAATTCTTGTTCATTATCACTTCCTTTGGAAATACTGAATATATTTTTAAAATTAAATAGTAATACAATAGTAAAATCAGTATCATGTAAGACTGATTGATTAAATGCATACAATGTACTTAGCACTAGACTCAGCTCTACAGGTGCCCTTTATAGTAACCTGTTTCTCCTATGCCCCAAAAAAATACAAGCCAAAAAAAAAAAAAAATCAGCCTTTTAACAAACCTCTGGGAACATTATTAAAGGGAACAGTGAATAATCACACGTAAAATATTAAATAGATTACTTTAAGTATTATAATTTCTTCAAGAAACTTTGTGAGGTTTTAGCTGCTCCTTTTGTTTATATGAGCATGAGCTTTGAAACCTTTTGTTTATGTAATCTTGATTGCTGCCTCTGTCCAAAAAATAAATTTAACCTTGTTTCAGACAAAAACATGAAAGTTTAGCCTACCCCATGTTTGATCATAAATCATTCAATCATTATGTCAAAGCTCAAGACTATGCTCTAACATGAAGGGTTCACAGTATCTCTGAATAATTCATAGCAGGTTTAGTTACGTAACGTTTCAACCACATTTCAGAAATACTAGCTGCCACATGGAGTGAATCCCAAATGTCAGGATGATGGTGACCCAACTAATCTATTCCATTTTTGCAGTGTAACTTCTCATTAAGACCCAGTCAGGAAAGCAATTCAAGTGTCTCATTGAATTTCACATTGAAGGTCTGCAGGAGCAGACTCCTTTGCAGGACTGGGGCCAAAATCCTTATGAATTCTGGACTAGATTCTCTGGCCTATTCTGGTCCCTTTGCACATCTCAGGTGGTGCAAAGCAGGTAAAAGCTGCTCACATCTCTACAGCTAGGTACTCTCCTTATGCTGAGAGTCCCAAGCACACAGTCATATTAGCTGTTTCATAAGCCATACTTCCCACTCAGAGAGAACCCGGGGAAGGGCTTGTACTGTGGTGGGGAGAGGCAAGGGCAGATATCCCCAGGTGGTGCATAGTCTCTTGGGTGACTGTTACCAGCTGAAAGAGTTTTAAAACATCTCCTAAAATATTCTAAATTCAATAAGGGCTGTAGCTGGCAAAAAATGAAACTTGGAATCAGGGAGCCTGAGGAGGCTCCCTGATGGGCCTCCCTCTACTGCACTTAGTAAACGGAGCACAGCAAAGAATCTGGGTTTCTGAGTTCACTAAGACAATAATACTGTAGTATGTCTTACCCAGGTTATTTGACATGTTACCAAATTACTGATTATCTTTACTAATATCAACAGAACAGAGTAAATTATCTTGCTGTCTCTATAATCTTTTAACTTCTTGCTAACATTCACATCCTATTTTATTTCTGTCAATATGTACATTTTATTTCCATTTGTATATCATAATGTTGCTATTCAGCGAAGAGTTAAAGGGACATTGTAAGGTTGACAGCCTCAAAATTCTCAAGCAGAAAGTGCAAGAGATAAAAGCAGGATGAATATACACTTACAAATGCCGTTGCCTCACCCAGAGCAGGAACTCCACTTTAAGATTGTTGTAGCTCTCATTTTGGAATGTTTTTGGTAAGAGGAGTTGACTGTCAAATTTTTGGGCTTGTTAACTCTGGCCCCCTCTAAACCTTGTAGATAGAAATCCTAGGAACTTGCTAAACTGAGGTAATTCGCCTCCAGTGCAACTCTGCTGTCACACCCCAAAACCCCCTCCCTCAGGGAGTCCCCTGGGAAGGCAGATCAGCATTGTATGTTGCTAATGCTGTTGCTAGCATCGCAAAGCATTTTAGGGAGGGTCAAAGGTGTGTGAGTGGGGAATGAAAGATTCCTTTGCTGGAGTACAAGAGGCTGAGAGAGGAGGAGAAAAAACCAGAGGACAGGTTAACTCAACACTGCAGCTAGCAAGCTCAGTCCAAAGATAAGATGCTAACTCCAGCCAGCTCAAGGCCACAGCACACATCTGATTCTCAGCTGCCAGCCAAGAAAGAGGGGGGCCCAGAATCCACAGACAATCATGAGAAAGGAAGATTCAACTGAACAGACACAGACCTGTAGAGCCAGCCCATAACAAGTGAGACAAGCAAAGGCCAGCACAGAGGAAAACAAAGAGGACAACAAAGTCGAGCCGGTGTGTTTTGGAGAAAGTCGAGGAGACCACAGAAAGCTGGTTTGGACTGGCACAAAGAGCACCAGGAACAGAGGTCGTGGAATAGAATACCCCCAAAGGAGCCCAGGACTTAAAACCCTCCTGAAAGGTGGAGCAATTTGGAGAGCACAGCAGATCCTTGGACGGCCTGGGCCCAGGACAACACTCCCGTCCACCTCCCCCCCTGCCTTCTTCTGACGTTACACTCAGACTTGGCCAGTCTGGGTCGTGCATGTGCGAATATGAAAGTGGGTTAGGGCTTAGGGCATGAACTCTTTCTTTCTTCCCCTGAGTGACGTGGGAGTGTTCCCAACACTCTCTGCTGTTATTTTATTATTTTATTAATAAAGCTTTAAAATTTAGACACTTGGTGTGCCTCGTCATCTCCTCCCCAAAAAGATCCTGTAGCCCCAGACAGATTGGTAACGAAAATCTGTCCTTCTAGTGATAGCAATCATGAAAGCAAAACTAATGTAGACAGGACACAGCTGGTTTTAACACAGTGCTACATAAAATAAGTGCCCTCCGTTTCTATATTAAAGCTTCCACTAATGGTGCACTGGTGGAGCTGCTTCAGTGGAGAATTACAGGTCTGAATTTTCCTAATATCAACATCCCTAAAGTACATATCATCCATCTTATTTCCTATTCAAAAGGTTCAGTGATCATGCATGTGGGAAGAGAAGTGTCAGCCTGTATAATTTTTTAGACTTTACATCTGATCACATTTGAATTATCACTGCCACCTTTGAATATATAATAGAGCCTGGGTGCACAGTCAAGAGTATTGACACTAATTGTTATTCACTACCCACAAAATATCATCTTTGACAGACACCTTTTTCCTTTTTAAAATTAATCCAACTCTGATTTGCAGTAGCAATGGCGTAACCCCTTCAACACAGGTAAAGAAGCTAACACAACAACATTAATCATTCCTGCTCATAAATCCTGCACTCAGAAAGACACACTTGATACTTACTTTTGTTAGCCTACACTATCAGACATGATAGTATAATGGTGACTCCCAAAATGTTGCCAATTTCACTATAGCACTGGGTCCAACTGAAGGCAGAATTTGATGGTCAGCCTGCATAATTTTCCAAGTGGTTTCTACTCTCACTTGCTGACACTCATTCAGCAATGGGGTTAGAGGTGTACCCTGCTAAACAACTAGCTACAATATAGAAATGTATGGCCAGAGTAAGTAAAGGACTTCAAGCCCTGACAGGTATTTATATCTTAAGAAAAATGCTCAGTTAATCTGTAAACAAACTGCAGTGGTATTAACATATTAAAGCCTTGATCCCTTGTTGTCAGTGTGCTTAATTCAATCATTCACATGACTCTTCTTCTATATATGTACATCTACCACTATTCAAGGCAGGACTCCGAGTTTTGTGGATGAACAAACGAAATAATTTTGGTTCATGCATCAGGATTAGGTCCTGTGGTGGCCAAGCCTGTGTGAAACAGAATATTTTCTTTATGATAAAAAGCAGAGCAGGAAAAAGTCACAAACAAGCATTGAGCTAGAAATAAGTTATTTATTTTAAAATGTTACAGATTAATAAATAGTTTAGTTATCAGAAACCTTAATAAATAGCCTTTTATAATTTACACAAGGCAAATACAACATGCCTATATCTATTTTTAAAAATCAAAGATAGTAAGCTAAACTTGTAAGCCATTAACAAATCTATATACACATTATTCGGAAGCTAAAATAGTCCATTTTCATTTTACCTGTAGTAACTATATTGCAGTAGTATTTAAGTAACCAAACCTCTGACACTGTATATTTGTTCCCATCCATTTTTTCCACGTTCCATTAAAATTAATTTAAACACACACGGGGAGGAGGAGGAAAAGAATCCCCTCATTTAAAAAATAGTTCAGGATTATCCCTTCTGTGTAACATATTTTTCTCCGCAAAGTGCAAACCACCTGAACAGAAAAAATAAAAACTTAATTCTTTAAAAACATTTCCCCCCAAAGTATTCTGGACTTTCCATTTCCTAATTTTCACCCTTTGCAATCTTTCAGTTTCAACACTGCTGTATGAAATACTTTGGCACTAAGAGTTCTGGAGCTCCTAACATTATTAGTGCAAATGCTACGTGCACTAACATATTCTGCAGCACTTAAACCCCATATTCCCTGGCCCCAAAGAGTTAATTATAAAGGCTAATCTCCTTGAAGGCAAGAAGTTAAGTATAATTAGATATAAATTTGTTTCAATAATAAACTTCAGCAGTTCTGTAGATTACACTATCTAAGGACAGTATGGGAAGTATTACAATGTCCTATGTTTAAGTAAGAAGGTGAGAGTGGTACATTTCACCTTTCAGTGCATTGCAGTTTGAGGTCCCTGTATTTATTTTCTTTAAATCCTTCTTGTAATAAAAAAGCCTCTTATTTTAAAATAAAAAGTGAAAGTAAAGCTTACAGCTTCCATTATTTTAACAAACAAAATCCAGTGCTTTCACTGTCAGTGCTAGTTACTTCAGAAAAATACATATACAGTCAGTCTAAACCAAAATTATTATTAGGAAGCATCACTTGTCATAGTGTATATAACATTCTTATTCATGTTAGTTTCAGGTGACTAATGAATAGGCTTTATTTGCACATACAGTATCCTGGATAATTAGTACAAGAGCTATCTTCTTTAGACAGTTTGCTTTTTATACACAGATATTTAGGAAAAAACATTTTTTGGTTGCATCAAAAACGGTTCTATTCTTCTGTTGGATGTTTGGGGGATTTATGTGGGTAACACCTACTAATGATAGTGGGGCCTACACATGTCAATCCTCCATACTTTGAATGGCTAATAGATCTCAAAAATCTATCTTCAACAGATTAAGAGCACTGTATATGTAAATATGTCTGATAAATTTAACAGAAGCCACAGACACTAAGAAACTCCTTTCACTGTGGAAATAAATATATTTTAATGAATCCCATCAATATTATCAGTCCACTTTACAACACTTTTTAGGTATATCCTCTGTCATTTCTGCTTTGGAATCAGAATTTAAGTAATCTGGCTCTTGGCTATCGATATAAATAATTTATGAAGCAACGTGAAAAGGCTGGGCCCAGTAGCAGGAAGACCAAAGCTCAGGAGACAATTATTTTCTCCCTGAGACGATGGAACTCAGAAGTATTATTCAAAGGTGCTCCCTTGCCTTGGGGGAGGAAGAGAGAAGAGTTGACAGTTCCCTTCAACAGTGCAATTTTTTTTAAACCAGAGAAGCAACATGAAAAGACATAGAAAAGGTAAGAGGTCTGGGATAAGGGGAAGGGGAGAAAGAATGCCATCAACAGTGACAATACACACGTCAATATAGTTTTAAAATTAGAATTGAGCCAGATCCAGTTAGAGACAGAAAATAAAAAGAACACCATTATTTGCTGAACAAAGAGTAGCAAAAATAATTTTTTTCATTATTTATCATTCATGATGTAAAAGGCTATAGGTATAAATGATGTGCAAGGCCACTTGAAAAGCTTTTCTCTATATGTGCTGGCTTTTGGTATCTCCACTTCAAGAAGTTCAGAACATGGATGAGGAGGAGCTGGGGAGAAGAGGAGAATTCCTGCAGAAGTTTATCAGCTCCAAGGAGGATAGGAAGACCAAAGAATACAGCTGTTATTTCAGTCTTCCCCTGCATAGAGACTGCTTATCACAACTTGGTTTAAGATGTGGAAAGAGGTTGCTTTGGGACAGGGTAATCTTGTTGGTTTGGGATTGTATAATTTTAAAATTTGCATAAGCACCTAGCATATGAGGATAGGCACCTTTTTAATAAATAAAAACTTAAATAAGCAAACATACTTGGCCAAATAAGGACTGTATGAGATATGAGAGTCATTTTCACTTTGAACTGAGAAAGAATTTGGATGAATTTGCAGAGATTAATGGCTAGCATACCAAACCAATGTGCAACCCTTAAACCCTAAATTTATGCTTTGAAAAAATGGCTTGACTACTTTTGAGAACAGCTATCATTTGAAGAAGTGAATTACAAGTCTACTTGTCTATTTTTATTTACTTAGGATCCAGTTTTCAAACAGACAAAAGGGAACTACTACCATTTACAAAGTCACCCTTTAGAGTAATCAAGATATTTTCTTCCAATCAATACTATGTAAAAAAAGAACTCAGCCAAACCTTATTTAAAATTCAACACCTGATTCCCTCATCTAGAAAAATCCTGCCTAGAAAGAGTGACATACCCCCGTATAAAAGTGTTTTTAAAATGCACAAAAATTTCCTTTTGTTTGCTAGTTCTTTTCTCCCTTCTCCTGGCCTAATATCATAAGATATGTTTCCATCATTTCTCAAGTCTAAATCATAACAGCTGAGATTTTTGGATGTAAAATGCTGTCTGTCCTTTCCTCCATGTATCAAATTATTTGATTTGATAACCCCAGTATTGTCAAACCTGTATGTTCACAAACTATGTCAGGCCTCCAAAAACCATGACACTGGCTTAAAAATAATACATTTAGGGTTCTTTTTATTTGCCTTCAGGTTTTTGAACCGTTAGCGTTCCCTGGGGTTGCATTTTCATGATTTTCTCGGTAACTATGAGAGCTAGCAACTGACTTTTCTTTTAAATCAAAAGCCAAGCGTCTCAAGTAGTCACATGACTCCAGTGAGCTGGGGTTTTAAAACAAAACACCAATTATTGAGTTAGCAACACCTCTAAATAACCAAGGTTTGCATTACCTACAGCTAGCCCACAAACTTAACTATGGGATACTGTTCTTGACCTCTTGTTATACACCAGGGGTCGGCAACCGGTGGCATGCAAGCTGATTTTTACTGGCACACTGCTGCTAGCCGGGGTCCCGGCCGCCGGCCCCACTCAGCCTGCTGCCTGCCTGGGTGAACGGAACCCCAGGTCAGCAGCGGGCTGAGCGCGGCCAGCGGTCGGGACCCTGGCTGGCAAGAGCCAGCGGCCAGAACCCCAGACTGGCAGCAGGTGAGCTGCTGCCAGTCTGGGGTTTTATCTGCCATCCTGCTCAGCCCGCTGATGGTCTAGGGTTCCAGCCACCGGCCCCTTGCCAGCCAGGGTCCTGGCCATCGGCCCCGCTCAGCCTGCTGCCAGCCTAGGATACCAGCCGCTGGCTTTGCTCACCTCACTGCTGGTCTAGGGTTCCAGCCGTCCAGCCCCCTGCCAGCTGGGGTCCTGGCCACCGGCCCTGCTCAGCCCACTGCCAGTCTGGGGTTCTGTCGCGGGCCCCTGTAAATGTAAAATTTATTACTGGCATGAGAAACCTTAAATTAATGAAGACTTGGCACACCACTTCTCAAAGGTTGCTGACCCCTGTTATAGACTGACATCTGTAACCTTCTCAAATGGTGTCTGGTGACCCCCCCTTTTGTCTCATGAGAGATTCTGGACTGCCAGGTGTTCAGTAGTTATATGCTACACAAATCTACTTTTATCTCCAAATTTAAAACAAAAGAATTTCTCTCTCACTTATTTTCAAGCCTTTGGTACACTCTTCCAATGACATTATGTATATAATGATCACTGATTACATTGTACTATGAAAATTATTTTCACTCCAAGGACAAGATCAATACATCCTTCTGTGAATATCAGTAATTTCTCCTATTTTTTGACACATTCATATACTGTAATCCAGTCATCCAAACCAATTGTACCATGGCTTGGGCCACTTGCACAAGCCTTTAAAATACTGCTGCGGAACTACAACGCAGCTGTGAAATACTGGATCTGAATGCATGTGTACTGGGTTACTCAACTCCACCTTTCTAAAGGCCATAATCTTACCCATCCTTCTGAGTTAATGAAGAAATCTCACACCTGTACTTCTCACAAAAATTTTGCTCATAACAGTGCCGGTTCACAGCCTGATTTCATAATCAGCAATCTAATGACACACAAATCCATTTACTCATTATCCTGTTCTGAAGAACAATTTTGTCAATTAGCTACTTTATTAAATAGTTTCCTATATTCTGTTGTATAACTGGATTCTACATATACTGGATTGCTGTAAGTAGACCTCTTATCAGTTACTTCTCATTATGATTATAGATGTTCGCAGAAGCCACCAAAGCATCTCAGTATTGACTTCAGGCTTGGAAACCTTTCCAAAAGTATTCTGACCTTTCTGTCTGCTTTACATGCTTATAATTTGAATACAGCCAAATATTACAGACAACAAAACTGGATTATTCTAACCTGTTACAAGGTCGCAGAAACAAACACATTCAAATTAAGTGGTATTTTTAGATTACAAAGGCACTGGATAACCCACCATGTATACAGGAAGACTGTGCATCACGTCCTTCACCCTCTTCCTGTCCATGAACCATTAAAAGCTCTTGGATGAATGCTATATGTCTTAATGCACTTAAAAGAGTTATGAATAAAATGTATACCTGTAATCTGGATGCTAGTTTCAGCTGGATCTGTGAGCTAGTTTCAGTTGGTAAGTAAGTAGTGCAAGCTTTTAAGGGTTAGATGCACTACTCTATACCAATGACTTAATTTAGAACTCCCCGCCTCCCCCAGTGCATTCACCTGTGTCAGTCCAAATTGCGGAGGCAGTTACTGTACAAAGGACAAACCTGTAGTCCACAATTCAAATCAACATTTTTTTCACAATTCACAGCCTGGATTGTGAACACATTGCTGTTTTAAGGAAATTAACAGAATTGTTCCATTTGCTTACAATTTTTTTTTAAAGGGCATACACCATTCATGAAAGGTGCTGGACTGAGTGCATTAGAAACTGATGATGTCTATCCACAGAATGAGTACATCACAGGCAGTCTAATGTAAAGATTTCCTATACTGGCCTGCCAGAATGTCATCAAACCTTTTCTGGATAGACCACCTTTTAGGGGCAAGGAGATACATCAGTCTCTATGCTGATTCATTCCTTAGCCTTTCTGCTGAGACAGTCAGCAATGAAATCAGTTAATGTCAACTTATTATGGTGATTTTGGGTATGTGGACAACTGTCCATTAAAACTGGATGGAGTCCACCAATTCATTTCACACAAGCTACCACTCTCTCAGAGGGTAACAACTGCCAATCTCAATCATACTGGAATCAGTTACCTAGAAATGGAAGGCTCTGTATCATTCCCTGAGCCATTCCAGTTCCCCTCAAATATGATTTTAATCTGTCTTCATATTAGGTTTATTCAAATCCCCAATATTGAAGCTGAACTCCTTGAAGACTTGTATAAGAACAATTCCAATGGATACAGTGGTGAATCCACAAGCCATCCCCAAGAAATCTACCACTCCCACGTTACTCCACTCCCTAAAAAGGATGGCTGAGGCCAGCAGGACTAAAGTGGTGAACACGACGTAGTAGATGGCACCAAACACAGATGAGTCAAAACATTCCAGTGCCTTATTGATATACTTGAACTGAATGATGATGCTACATCCTAACACTGCCAGAAGAACCAAACAGAGATACAAGGCTCTTTGACTTGATGGATTATTGTAAAAGATATCTTGAGCAGCCAGCCCAATGCCTTTTGTGCTGGGCACAGTGAAACTGCCCAACAGTGAGCAAATACTGATGTAAACCATGATATTAGTAGGTCCATGAGCTGGCGCTATCCAGAAGATAAGCAGGAGAAGCATGAGAAGTACTGTGCAGAGGTAGCCCACAAACACTGAAAAAACAAAGAAAAAAATGGTAATGGCTTGTTAATGGCCAGGTAGAAACATTTGCCCTAGGATAATTTATTAGAAATATTTAAAGGCTCAGTCGTGAACCCCTGAACATGGTAACATATAAGGATATGTACACAAAGCTGAGGATCTCCTATCAAATAAAGAAAAAAAGCCTTTGAAATTGGTTAGATCAATGTACAACTATGACAGTTGCTGCTCTTACCCTCTTTGTGCAAGTCAAATAATAATGTATGAATACCAACTGTTTCACACTGTCACTGGATTTAAAGTTTTTTTTAAAGTTGACATTATATTCCTATTAAAGTCCCCTATGAAGAATGGTTGTGATATAACCACATTCATCACTATGACCAAAGTACCTAAGCACATACTTAAGTCTCATTAAAGTCAATGGGATGAACAGGACACACTTCAATAGTTAATTTTGGTCTGGTTGGACTATTAAACACGCAACAATATTTCCTTTACTAACACTTTTATGTACACTTTAGGTTTGAGTTTCAGTGAAACTGAAAATATTAAATAGTTCCCAATTTAGCTGTTCTGAGAGAAAAATTGAAGTGGCTTAGGCATACATGAAGCACAGAGAGTATGCCAAACAACTATCAGGTCAGGAACGGTTTAAAAGCAAGTCAGTCCAGTGAATAGCAGGAAAGAAAGGGAACTTCACAACATGTTTTATTGGCACCTGCATACATGCCTTCAGCGTGCCAAAGCAAACATCTATTTGAAACATAAGTAATGTATATGTGCACCATTAAGATAGCTTTAAGACCTAATAGAATCTATTTGGCAGCAAGAAGTGCAAGGATTTTACCCACAAAGATTCAATTTTTGTCTAGAACCCCTTAAAATGAGCTCATGGAATTATAGTTTTGATTCTTTCCTTAAGAGGAAACGACATGAAACAGCTCTTCATCATTTTAGAAAATAGGTTACAAGTCCAACTTACAGCCAACTTGGTTTCATCACTTAAAAAAAGAAAATGTATTTGCAGTTCTTGACTTACCATGCAAATATGCAATGATTTTCATTGTAAGGAAAAACTGAAATGGAGAATTATTTCAAAGCACTAAAAAAAACAAAAAAACCCCACCACTTTTGGGAAGTTACCATCTCGACAACTTTATTTCTTCTTTAGATCAGATCCTAGCCCTTGCTATGGCTACTCTGCGCCTCCTTGGTGTCACAAAGCAACTGCAACATCAGTTTAACCAGCTAATAGAGGATTCCACCTGCATGGGAGAATCCTTAGGTGGTGCAGAAGCTACTGTAGCTCCTATACCACTGTTCCCCATGTTCTCAACCCCTTGGCATAGGGGGGCATAACCAGCATGTTTCTATACCCCATTGAGCCCCAGTTTATAGAATGGTGCTTTGTGGCCAGAGGTAGTTGAATACATTATAGCAGACGAACTTATGCCAATAACTGGCTGGCTCCTGGACAGCAGCAGAAACAGGAAACTACAAGCTCAGACAACCCAAGATCAGAGTCTTTGAATTTGTTGCTGGCCAGTTTCTAACTCTGGACAGTTTACTGCTTAATTTAGTTTTTTTAATTAATAGCCTCATGACAGATGCTGTCAAAAGGTACATTTTCAGAAGTGCCTGAGTCAAAGGAAGTTAGGCTCCTAACTCACCCAGGCCCTTTTTGAAAAAATCATATCTATAATTTCTCCTTTATACACACTCCGGGAATTCTGTTACACTGAAGAGGTAGTCTTCATGTATAGAAACCATGATGGTGTGTCTCCTTTATACCGTATTTACCTAGGAATGCAGAAGCCTTAATACCACTAATGTTGCTGCTTTGGGGAAGCAACTATTCCCTTCAAATAAGTGTTCCTAGACAATGCTATCATAATTTTGTAAGAGAACGAAGTACCTGGATTTGTAAGTTTCTCTTCAAGCTCAGCCTGAGTCGTTACACTCTCAGATTTTGGGGAATGAATTATGAGAACAACAGACCCAGCACAGCTCAGCAGACATCCCAACTTGCCGAGAATGTTGAGTTTTTCTTTCAGTAAGTAAGAAGCTAAAATGGACCTTTCACAAAGTGGAAGAAAATTAAAATTAATCTAAATTATTCAATCTCTTAATACACATCTCTCAGCTAGGGTATTACTTGCCAGCCTTTTGTTTACTTCCAAAAATAGTCTTCATGTAGCCCATTTACATGCTTCAGCCCTGACCCAAGACAGGGGAGGAAGGCAGAAAATAAATTCAGTCTTTATGTTCATTGAATCCTCAACCTCTTAGCTGAGAGCACAAGGGGGCCAGGCCAACTGTGAGGCAGACACCTATCCCACAGCAATCTGGTGGGAGACTACCAATCCATTTCACATGGGCCACAAGCAGTAAAGAGGTAGCAATGATTTTTGGTCACTAACACAACAGGCTGGATTCAAACAAGTAAATGGCCCAAACATACCAAAGACACTGTTTAACTCTGTGTTCAAGGCAAAGGAAGACATGACACCAACCCCAAACATTCTGCAGCCTAAAGTAGATGATCAATGCAGTTCAGATGCATAATTAAGGCTCAGTTTTAGTCACAGGTATTTTTAGTAAAAGTCACGAACAGGTCACGGGCAGTAAACAAAAATTCATGGCCTGTGACCTGTCTTATTATCTATCCCTTTCTTAATGATTCCCAACATTCTGTTCGCTTTTTGATGGCCGCTGCACACTGAGTTGATGTTTTCAGAGAACAATCCACAATGATTCCAAGATCTCTTTCTTGAGTGGTAACAGCTAATATAGTCTCCATCATTTTATATGTATAGTTGGGATTATGTTTTCCAGTGTGCATTACTTTGCATTTATCAACACAGAATTTCATCTGCCATTTTGTTGCCCAGTCACCCCGTTTTGAGAGATCCTTTTGTAGCTCTTCACAGTCTGCCTGGGACTTAACTATCTTGAATAGTTTTGTATCATCTGCAAATTTTGCCACCTCACTGTTTACCCCTTTTTCCAGATCATTTATGAATATGTTGAACAGGACTGGGCCCAGTATAGACCCCTGGGGGACACCACTATTTACCTCTCTTCATCCTGAAAACTGATCATTTAACACTACAAACATGTGGTGCAATTTTGGTAATCTGTTTAAGTTGTTGATAATAGCTGACATTTAAACACTATTAATCTTTCTGGGCAAAGAACGTGCCAACTACGTTTATTACACTTCATTAAAATGTTAGAGGGAAAGCTAATATCCACAAGCATGATGTTTTCCTGATGGAACACCAATGGGTCACAGATTTTATTTAGAATCTATATTTTACTAGCAAGTAATTCAGCATTCAAATAAATGAATAAAATTCTTACCCAAATGGAACGCCAAGAGCTCCTAGAGGAGTCACTAACACAGTTGGAACTGCAGTGTAGGCCAAGAAATTCCCAATTTGACCAAGTGCCACTGTTAAGAGAACCACAAAAGAGTATTTTAAATCCCTTAGTAAATAGGAATGATGAAAAGCTACTCAACGCTGGCTCATAACTACTGACCTGACTGGAAGATGAACATTATTGAACTGTTTAGTTCTGCCCATAACTTTTCAGTTATACAAAAACTAAATTTTCCAGCTGTCTGATTTTTTAAATATTATTTTTAAATAAAGGCTGTTTGCAAAAGAGAAGGCACCAAGAGAGCATCGTCAGTAATTCTGCTCATTAATGTTCTCTTCAATAATTTTTCATAATTAAGTAGGGAAGAGTCAAGAGACTGAGAATTTGAAACCCTGTCATGGGATGCACTCAAATTTCCTGATGTAGGGAGCTCTGAATTTAGGCATCCCATGTTCTATATCAGGGGTCGGCAACCTTTGGCACTCGGCCCATCAGGGTAATCCACTGGCAGGCCATGAGATATTTTGTTTATGTTGACAGTCCACAGGCACTGTCGCCTGCAGCTCCCAGTGGGTGTGGTTCGCTGTTCCCAGCCAATGGGAGCTGTGGGAAGTGGCGGCCAGCACGTCCTTGCAATAAGACAGCTTTGATATTAGTTAATAATAATAGACAAAAAAAAGACTGAATGTGCAGTACAATATACTAGACAAAACTGGAATTTCAAGCTGTGGCCATTATTAGCACTTAAAATCAAATCATTTTAAGAAACCAAAGCTTTCTGCACTCTACTGTCAAATATCATCATCATTATACTACTTCTTTATACTTAACTAGTGCTTTACATCTGCAAAGCACTATACAAACATTAATTCATTCACCAAATAAGTTCACAGCTCAGTAAAGCCGAGGAACCTCATCAGGAACACGGAGGAAAGAAAAATTTACAAGATCTGGAGTATGGTAGCATTATGCTGACTCAATTCACTGGTGTTTCCTGTGCATGTAATACTGAATCTAGTGAGGTAGCCAGCAGTCAGTCAGCCACATCTGTGAAGCCGAAGAGTTGGTCATGATCTTTTGCATGTGGTCTTTAGCTAGGACTGGATTATAGTCCCTCTAAGCTCTGATCTTTATTGAGCTCTCTCTCTTGTTTGTGTGCATGTTTTTTCAGCAAGCACATAACGGCAGCTCTGGCGTGGAGATATTCAGAGTTGAAGGAAAAGACCTTGAACTGAAGAGAGAGTATGCTGGATACACCATATCCTCCTTGGGACTCCCCACTGCTCAGTTGCTCAAATTAAAATTTGCTTTTTCATGGCTCAGATCCCTTGACTTCATGGCTGAGGTGGGTTGTCAGAGGCCTAGTAGCAGGGCCGTTCTTACCCATACGCAAAGCACGCAGCTGCTTAGGGCATCAGGAAATTTGGGGCACACATTTCCTGGTGCCCTGCGCAGCTGCGTGCTGCTCCACCCCTGGTCCGGCTCTTCCCCAGGCCCCCGCCCCTGCTCCACCCCAGCCCTGCCTCTCCCCACCCCACCCCCACTTCCCTGAAGATTGCAGCCAGGCCCAACCCTGCACTCATGGCGTGGTAAGTGGAGCAACCCGGTCCCAGCCTGCTCCACTCCCCTGGCTCCCAGGCTTGGGGGTGGGGGGGGAACCGCCCCCCAGCACTCGCTGGCGGTGTGGCTGGGAGCCTGGGGAGCAGAACAGGCTGGGGCCGGGTCACTCCACTTCCCGCAGGAAGTGGCCAGCCAGCCCCCCACTGCCCCCCGAGTCCTGGGGCCAGCCCCCCCATCCCGCGGATATCTGGGGCAGGGCCCCACACAGTCCTCCCCGCTTCCGCCCATGGAGGCCTGGGGGGCTGCGTAGGGCACCAAAATAGCTAGGGACGGCCCTGCCTAGTAGCGGTACAAAGAAAAATACATAAGTATCTCTGAAGTTCTACTCAAGTTATTATTCTTCACTATTTGTATCGTAGTGGCTCCTAGGAGCCCTAGTCACTGAACAAATACAGAACAAAGAGATGGTCTCTGTCCCAAAGAGTTTATAATCTAAGTTGAATTAACTCCTCAAACAACTCAAGTCAATAATAATCTTGGCTATGTTTCAGTATGCCTGAGCCATGCCTTTGCTTCCTCTGAGCAGAAAATGATCTGTTAGTTTTCTACATAGGATTCAAGGAGCAGCACTTTGTGACTGAGGGCTGGTCTTCACTATGGTGCTGCCAGGGATCGATTTAGCGGATCTAGTGAAGACCCGCTAAATCGATGGCAGAGCGCTCTCCGCTTGACCCTGGTACTCCACCTCTCCAAGAAGAGTAAGGTAAGTCGACTGGAGAGCATCTCCCGTCGACGCAGCACAGTGAAGACACTGCAATAAGTCGACCTAAGCTACGTCAACCCAACTACGTTATTCACACAGTTGGAGTAGCGTAACTTAGGTTGATATACCCCCATAGTGAAGACAAGCCCTATGTCCCACTACAGCCAATCTGTAGGGAGGCTCATTTCTGCTTGTAGTTTGCTTCTTACGTTGGAAACGGCAACATAATGTTTAAAATGACAGGTTTCAGAGTAGCAGCCATGTTAGTCTGTATTCGCAAAAAGAAAAGGAGTATTTGTGGCACCTTAGAGACTAACATTTATTTGAGCATAAGCTTTCGTGAGCTGTAGCTCACGAAAGCTTATGCTCAAATATGTTTAAAATGGTTGACCATCTTCTTGCAGACCACATACAGAGGTCTCATCAAGGCTATTTTTAAAAAAGTTTCTTTTGCCGGGCAAAGCACTCTGAAACGTTCACACTGCAAGCACTGGGAACATGTGCAACATTTTCAGTCTTATCTTGAAAAACCACATGTGTTTTCTTGGAAAACTCTCAGTAGCAGGGTGCCATTTATTGAGAACACTCAGAAATGCATCTTTTTATAGCTGTTACCACTTGCCTGCTGTTAAAAGCCTTGCACTGCAGAACTATCCATTCTTCTATTTATATGGATCCATCTCAGTAGTATTTGAGCTCTTCTTCTTTGAAGTCTGCAGTAATCCTGTGGATTCCACCACCAAAAAACCCAGAGGTGGTGTTTTTTCTAGGTCTAGATGTTTGCATTGAAATAATGGCAACTACAGCATTTGCTCAAGAAACTTCCTGAAAAAGCACAAGATCAAATCCGCACAGACACACCCCTGGAACCCCGACCTGGGATATTCTATCTACTACCCAAGATCCATAAACCTGGAAATCCTGGGCGCCCCATCATCTCAGGCATTGGCACCCTGACAGCAGGATTGTCTGGCTATGTAGACTCCCTCCTCAGGCCCTACGCTACCAGCACTCCCAGCTACCTTCGAGACACCACTGACTTCCTGAGGAAACTTCAATCCATCGGTGATCTTCCTGATAACACCATCCTGGCTACTATGGATGTAGAAGCCCTCTACACCAACATTCCACACAAAGATGGACTACAAGCCGTCAAGAACACTATCCCCGATAATGTCACGGCTAACCTGGTGGCTGAACTTTGTGACTTTGTCCTTACTCATAACTATTTCACATTTGGGGACAATGTATACCTTCAGATCAGCGGCACTGCTATGGGTACCCGCATGGCCCCACAGTATGCCAACATTTTTATGGCTGATTTAGAACAACACTTCCTCAGCTCTCGTCCCCTAAAGCCCCTACTCTACTTGCGCTATATTGATGACATCTTCATCATCTGGACCCATGGAAAAGAAGCCCTTGAGGAATTCCACCATGATTTCAACAATTTCCATCCCACCACCAACCTCAGCCTGGTCCAGTCCACACAAGAGATCCACTTCCTGGACACTACAGTGCTAATAAACAATGGCCACATAAACACCACCCTATACTGGAAACCTACTGACCGCTATTCCTACCTGCATGCCTCCAGCTTTCACCCTGACCACACCACACGATCCATTGTCTACAGCCAAGCTCTGCGATACAACCGCATTTGCTCCAACCCCTCAGACAGAGACAAACACCTACAAGATCTCTGTCAAGCTTTCTTACAACTACAATACCCACCTGCAGAAGTAAAGAAACAGATTGATAGAGCCAGAAGAGTTCCCAGAAGTTACCTACTACAGGACAGGCCTAACAAAGAAAATAACAGAACGCCACTAGCGGTCACCTTCAGCCCCCAACTAAAACCCCTCCAACGCATTATTAAGGATCTACAACCTATCCTAAAGGATGACCCAACACTCTCACAAGTCTTGGGAGACAGGCCAGTCCTTGCCTACAGACAGCCCCGCAACCTGAAGCAAATACTCACCAACAACCACATACCACACAACAGAACCACTAACCCAGGAACTTATCCTTGCAACAAAGCCCGTTGCCAATTGTGCCCACATATCTATTCAGGGGACACCATCACAGGGCCTAATAACATCAGCCACACTATCAGAGGCTCGTTCACCTGCACATCCACCAATGTGATATATGCCATCATGTGCCAGCAATGCCCCTCTGCCATGTACAGTGGTCAAACTGGACAGTCTCTACGTAAAAGAATAAATGGACACAAATCAGATGTCAAGAATTATAACATTCATAAACCAGTCGGAGAACACTTCAATCTCTCTGGTCACGCAATCACAGACATGAAGGTCGCTATCTTAAAACAAAAAAACTTCAAATCCAGACTCCAGCGAGAAACTGCTGAATTGGAATTCATTTGCAAATTGGATACTATTAATTTAGGCTTAAATAGAGACTGGGAGTGGCTAAGTCATTATGCAAGGTAGCCTGTTTCCTCTTGTTTTTTCCTACCCCCCCCCAGATGTTCTGGTTTAACTTGGATTTAAACTTGGAGAGTGGTCAGTTTAGATGAGCTATTACCAGCAGGAGAGTGAGTTTGTGTGTGTATGGGGGTGGGGGGGATGTGAGAAAACCTGGATTTATGCAGGAAATAGCCCGACTTGATTATGTAAAGAGTTGTCACTTTGGATGGGCTAGCACCAGCAGGAGAGTGAATTTGTGTGGGGGGGTGGAGGATGAGAAAACCTGGATTTGTGCTGGAAATGGCCCACCTGTTGATCACTTTAGATAAGCTATTACCAGCAGGACAGTGGGGTGGGAGGAGGTATTGTTTCATATTCTCTGTGTATATATAAAGTCTGCTGCAGTTTCCACGGTATGCATCTGATGAAGTGAGCTGTAGCTCACGAAAGCTCATGCTCAAATAAATTGGTTAGTCTCTAAGGTGCCACAAGTACTCCTTTTATTTAACACTGTCACTTGCAAGTGAATTCACTCTTTTGTATCAGGGAACCAAGTTATTTAAATAAACCTTGTGGGAGGCAAACTGATAAGAGTCTCTGATGGTTTTGTTAGTCATCCAAAATCCCAAACCAGCCAATTTCTAATGTATAGGATATTAACTGCTGTAGTTTCCCCAAGGCATTGTGGATATTTACTAGATTCCAAAGAATCCACCCTTCTTTGGGTTCCACAGTTCTCTACCTGGCTCTTGCTGTTTGTGACTGTATTGAAATTCTGAATCCACAGCATTCTAATTCAGTGGTTCTCAACCAGGGGTACACGTACCCCTGGGGGTACTCAGAGGTATTCCAGGGGGTACATAAACTCATCTACATATTTGCCTAGTTTTACAACAGGCTACATAAAAAGCACTAACAAAATCTGTACAAACTAAAATTTCATACAATGACTTGTTTATACTGCTCTATATACTATTCACTGAAATGTAAGTACAATATTTATATTCCAATTGATTTATTTTATAATTATCTGGTAAAAATGAGAACATAAGCAATTTTTCAGTAATAGTAGCTGTGACACTTTTGTATTTTTAGGTCTGAGTTTGTAAGCAAGTCATTTTTAAGTGAGGTAAAACTTGGGGGTACAGAAGACAGATCAGATTCCTGAAAGGGGTACAGTAGTCTGGAAAGGTTGAGAGCCACTGTTCTAGTTAACCCTTTCCATGGTGCTTTTATAAGCTGCTAGATGCTTAGTTTTGACATGCTAGCTGATGGATGTAGCCAACAGATCATTCTCTTGAGCAATTTTGGCTTCATAAAACTCAGTCAGTTGGCTTAATCAGGGTTACGCTGACACATTGAGAAAACCCTCTCTCTTTTTCTCACTCCTTCTGTCCAGATATTCAAAACGGAGGCCTCAAAAGAAATGAGCAGACAGGCTCATTTTAAACACTACAGAACAGAATTGCTACTGCGCCCAGCTTCCAGTGGTCAGAGCAGAGTAGCAGGGCTGTCAGGGGTCTGATTACAGATTCCCAAATTCCATCCCAACCCAGATTAAAGCAGCATGGGTGGTAATCTGGAGACAGAGGAACCACTCTGCTGGCTTTACACTTGCTGCAGAAGACTTCCCCACACAGAGAGAATCTTCATCAAGGGACCTGGTGGTTTCCACTTCCTTTGCACCACTGGAATTGTGCAAGGGTGAAAATCTGCCTCTGTGGCTAAACAAGGAACACGACTGAAAGTCTAATGACTATTTGCGAGTTACATACATTGAAGGAACCCTTATCACAGCAATTCTAATAGTCCCCAACAGATTATAGATTAGGGTACAAAGGTAGGATGCCATCTTTCCCACTAACTGAACTGAGAACAGAACATGCTAGCTACTCTGTACCTTTTCTTGGATCTTTTTGATATCACCAATCCATTCAGAGTAATCAGCGAGACTACTTGTGAGAGTGAGGGTCACAGAGGTCTGTATTCATCTCATACTCAGCAATGCCCAAGGATTCACCAGCCTACTTTTTGCAGTAGAGTGACAAAAAGGTACTGTAGCTAGAAATGACAAAATACTAAAATGTAAAAGTTGGCTAAGGGTTTTCTGATCTAAAATTTAACCTCGAATAAATAAGCCCTTATGGTATGAAATTACAATTCCTTATTTAACTGCCTTTTAAAAAAATTGAGCTTACTATCACAATTCCTGGATGTATCACAGGTACAGTTATTGTGTGAGTGCTAATAATTTCCATATCGAAGGCTTCTTACATTTTGGTAGAAAGATAACTCTGTGAAGGCTAATAAGCTGTGCTAAAATCAACACTACAATATATCATAGGCTATTTAAAATCCAATCATCTATGCTATTCCATTCTTTACATTATCTTACAACATAAGATACTTACTTGCAATAGTACCAGACCACCATACTATATCTGTTAAATATGAAGTACCTGGAAAAGGCAACATGGGAAAAGAGTGGATGAGTTCTACTGGAAAAAATATAAAAGAGCAACATTAAAGCTAAGCTAAGAAATCATTTTCACACACATTCGCACACAGTTGTAAGGACATTAGAAAAAAAGCTATGATGGTAGCTCCAATCTAGCCTAACTAATCCTGGTACACTTTCTCAATGCATCTGATCATTAGAAATTCAATTTCAAATGCTTACAAAATATCCTCATCCTATATAAAAGGAAGCCTTGAAATATCCACAAGTGTTTCTGAAGATTCTATTCACCATATATGTTAAACTCATTACCAGGAGATAGTGTGATCTTTCAGAAAATCTGGCCTAAGAGATAAAAAATAATTTCTACAGCCACTTGGACTGGGACAAATTTAAGACACTTACAGAGAAATCAGAGATGTTTGGGTGTGGACTTTTGGCAAGCCCTTAGTCTCCTGTGGCTACGTGATCTAGGCCTTCTCTGGGATGTGAACATGTTACGTTTCAAAGACATGGGTGACAACTCCAGACTGTTCTTTAGCTGCCTACCAATTTTGAGACTGTATATTTTCATTATATTATCAGAAATTGTTATGGATTTTCATCAGACAATTGTTATGAATTTTTCGTCTCCTATTTTACCTCAGACTTTTAATGTGGAATTTACTAGGGAGTTGTGATATTCTTAAAACTTGACTAAAAGAAAGGCATGATTTTTCAGGACACATTTTACAAATCATGAGTTTTATTTTCCTATTGGAGAATCCTAAAGAAAATCTATATAAAAAAGTTATAAAAGTCCAAGGTCCATTATGAGTTACAATAAGTCCTGGACCAGAGCAAAAAATAGAAAACAATGTTTAAATAAATGAATGCCTGTCGAAAATACTACTAAATAATGTAAGGTCTAATATCATGCAGACCATCAAGGCTAGACACCAGGAAAACTCTCAAGGAGAGTAACGTTTGTGTTTATCTGCAGTAGTCTGCAAGGTGTCAGACATTAACATCACATTATTCTGGTTATTATTTCCTGCTCGTATGCCGACACTTCAGTTCTGCTCTTACTTTAGCAGATGCTCTCTTATGAATTGCTAGAAATTGAACCAATGTTGTACTCATCAGCTGAAAGTTCAGAATCCCAAATAGCATAAAGCAATAACCTTTAACTCTAGGAACTCCTTGAATAATGGTTGCTAAAACCACATCCGAATTGAAATGGGAGAAAAAATTATGACAGTAAGCAATATGATCAGCTTTTGAGTGGGTGTCTAATTTATCAGATTACATTTCTGTTATTGCAAATAAAATAAAAATGTCTCAATAGTTGTACAAATTACACAAAATATCATCACTAGTAAACTAACTTCACAAAATATTTGTCCCCCTACTGCTGTTTCCTCTCCAAGCACAATCTGATACTATCTCACTGATTCAATTCACTAGTGTAGCAAAAGCTTGAAGAGGCAAGTTAAGTACCAGGCTGTCAATTATGGACCTAATGCAAAGCCTACTGAAATCAGTGGAAAGACACCAGTGAGCTTTGGATCATGCCCTGTGTTAGTTCTGACTTCCACATTCAAGCTATACTGGCCCAATATATTAAAATGGAGAAAACACTGGCCTAGTAGTATCTTTTAGGATTCCACATCTCATATTTTCACAACTTAATTTTGCTGGGCTTTTGTAGCTCCCTCTTGTATACAGCAATTAGGAAATGCTGTCCTCGGTAGCTTGGCACTCAGATTTTGCCAAGAAAAAACATAATGGAGATACAAGTAACTTTTCTATATATTTTGTGACATTAACGTTATTTTACATATTAGACATTCAACTACCAACACTGAAAAAAGTTAAATTATGTGAATTTGACAGTTCAAGACTTTAGCATAATTCTTGAAATGGTTAGATCCCATGGTTAGGTCCCAGCTACACAGCAAAACAGAAATCTGATTTACTTATGCTGGGGACAATAGTGTTGTAACTAAGTTACTCCCGAAATGTTTTTGTTGTATAAATATCACTTGTGTATGAAAACAAACAAAACAAAACACAAAGAACCCAACAAAAATTACAACTTTCTTTAGGGGGAAAAGAATGTGTGTTTACAAAGCATACTCCTGGGGGAATTCTGCACCACTGCGCATGTGCAGAATTCATGTCCCCCACAGATTTCTTTGCTTCCTCACAGAAAAATGACTTTCTGACAGAGAAGCATAGAGAAGCTGCAGAGCAGTCAGACACCACTTCCTAGCAGCGCAAGTACAATGTTTCAGGCACCCAGAGCAGCCAGCGAAGAGGTAAATCACCGCAGGGCTGGGGATACCCCAGCCAGTGGCTCCTACCCTGAGCTGGGATCAGCTGCTAGTCCCAGCTGGGCTAGAGGCAGGAGAGGGTGCGACTTCTTCCTCCCCAGCAAGGAGTGGCTGGGGATGTGTCAGACCCACCCCAGAAACCTACCCCAGCTGCAGGAAGCTCAGCATCCTCCCCTGCTTCCTGCCCCCATTGCTCCTCAGCTACAGGGAAGGGGTCACTGTACAGGGAGCTGCTCCCCCAACCCCCGTGCATCTGGACCTCCCATACCCAGACACCCCTGCCAAGTCTCACCCCATTTGCCCATATTCCCCCTAGCCTTCCATACGCGAACCCCACCCCCCTGAATCTCAATCCCTGCATCTGGAGCCCCCTGCATCCAGATCCCCAACTCTGCACCTAGATCACCCCCACTGAGCTCCCTGCATTCAAACCCCCACCCTGAAAAGCCCCACCCCCCTGCACCCCCCACCACTGACCCCAATTAGCTGCACCCAGACCCCCACCCCACCAAGTCCCACTTCCCCAGCACCCAGATGCCCCTTCTGAGACCCCACACCCAGGCCCCTTCGCTGAGCTCCAATCACCTTCACCTGGAAGCCCCTGCAGTCACATTGCCCCTGCCCCTGGAAACCACCCCGCCCCCCCCCGCAAGCCTCTGTGCATCCAGATCCCCCCACACCTAGACCCTCCACTGAGCTACCTGCACGCAGACTGTCCCACACAGAATCCTCTCACCCCCCACTGAGCCACTCCACACTTGGATCCTGCTTGGTTGAGCCTTCCTGCCCCACACCTGTTGTGCCTGGTGCAGAGGGGCAGGACCCCAGGGTGTTTCTGGGGCATACCCAGGCCTTGTGCTGTGTCAGGGTTGGGTGCAGCCTCACCACTGAGTCCATGTCCCGGGGTTGAGGAGGCTGCAGTGTGATCTCCCACCTTCGTACAGCCAATAGCCTGTGCTCCCCACTGCCACGCTGGAGCCTCTGCATTTATTTTTTGACAAATAAAACTTGCAGAATTTTAAAATATTGTGTGCAGATTTTTTGGCACAGAATGCCCTCAGGAGTAAAAACAGCAGTATGTACAGGGCCTTAAAATGTCACACAATGCTGCAGTTGTGGAAAATGCAAAATAAACTTGTTGGATCATGCTGTCAGCTGGTAGTAATGCAGTTGAAAGTTGTTTGTTATGCATGAAAGAGTCCATCACGAACACATTAGACACAGCATGATCTTGAAATGTGAGCTGGTCCTAGACCAGTAATATAAAAAAATTCTGGAGGTCATATCTAACATGTGGAATCTCTATTCAAATTACCAGAACAAGAGCTCCCTACATATATATACAAATACAAAAAGAATGACTGCTGCAAGAAACATGTAACTGATTACAGTGCAACACAGAGTCTATGAGTTTCCTCTTGAAATCATTCCAAAGCAAGGATTTAGGGGGGAAAAAAAGACAAATTTTGCTATTTGTCACAGATAAATTCAAAGCACGAAAACTCTGTTAGCAAAATAGTATCATGCTTTAGAAAACTGACTTCAGAACACACAAAAAATGACAAATTGTGAATTTGTAACAATCATGTTGATTTGTCAGAAACATTTAAGTGGGCAGCACAGTGAGCTATTGCTCTACATTTTTACCTTAGGAATCCAACTCCACATTAAGGCTTACAGTTATATAATAAAGAAAAACGTTTGGTGGTTTTATAAGACTTGGTGGGCATTTCTCCATAAAACAAGATTGCAATTATGCTGAATTATGTGGTTATGTGTCCTTATGAGAGAACCAGAACAAAGAGGGGGTACAAATAAAGCTAGCTGGAAGTTGAAACTAGACAAATTAAGACTGGAAATAAGGCATAAATTTTAATGGTGAGAGTAATTAACCATTAGAACAATGTATCAAGGGTCCCGGTGGGTTCTCCCTTAGTGACAATTTTTAATTCTAGATGGGATGTTTTCTAAAAGATCTGCTGTAGGAATTATTTTAGGGACATTTTATGGCCTGTGTTATACAGAAGGTCAGACTAGATGGTCACATGGTCCCTTCTGGTCTTGGAATCTATGAAAGAACAGAATGGAGATGCACTGGTACAACTTTATGGAAAGAGTTTTTACATCTTTCTCTAGCTAGTAACAGAACTCTCTTATCAAACGTACACGAAATATTGCAAAATAAGTATTTGTGTTTAAATCACATGATCAGTGGTGCTGCAGTATTTCACAAAGTAGAAGTACATTGATGACTATGCCCAACTCCTCTTGACTGTTTCAGTTTGACTTCACATCTGGATTTCGTTATTTATTTCTTGCTATTCACTCCAACCATTGACCTCTGATATAAAGATATTTTAACTTTATGGGTGGACATTGAAACCAACTCATCATGTGACTATCCACAATCAGAGCAGTTTCACGGGCTGTATTTTACAATTGCTCAGGCAGCAGGACTGAATAAATTTCGTAACAGGACTGGAAGCAGATTCAAATAAAGAATGTCAGTTCCCTAACTGCATGGATTTTTTCCATGTAGAGTACCTTCTCCATCCACCCTAATTGCTCCTAAAGGAAGAGCATGAAAGCCCTTGCTGGTGCTTTATGCTTTGAATAGCTGATATAGGATGGCTACAAGTTGGGTGACAAACCTCAGTAATTTAATGTCCAGGTGACTTTTAAAGTCCTGACAGAGAGCGATGGGTTCCCAAATTACTTTCAGTAAAAGGCTGGGGGTTTATATTTCTTCCCCTATCTAGAGTCAAAAGGTGGGTGAGGTACTGTAATATGTTTTATTGAAAGAGACAAGCTTTCGAGCCACACAGAACTCTTCTTCAGGTCTGGGAAATGTATTCCCAGAGCAGCACAGCTAAATATGGTGGAATGGACTGTTTAGCATAAATAATCAGCACATATTCTAAGGGACCATTCAAGATAGAGTCCACGAGGACCAACGGGTCAGTTATAGAGCAATTGCTTTGTGAAAAGTTTCAGAGTAACAGCCGTGTTAGTCTGTATTCGCAAAAAGAAAAGGAGTACTTGTGGCACCTTAGAGACTTTATTTGCTCAAATAAATTGGTTAGTCTTTAAGGTGACACAAGTACTCCTTTTTGTGAAAAGTGTTCATCCTAAGGTCATAGGGTGTTTTTGTTTATCATTTTCCTGTGTAAATTCATTTGAGAGCATAGGGATTGTCTGGTTTCACCAACATAGTTATTACGGCATTTAGTGCATAGGATGAACTATACCATGTTGTGATATACCATGGTTCTTGAAAGGTGTGTTGTGGGGGAATGTTGATCATTGCAGCAGTGGAGTTATGTCTGCACAAAGCAATCACTCTATGTCAGACCTATCAGTCTTCATCACCAAAGGAAACCTACACAACACATTCAAAAGATGAGCCTGGGAGCTTAAATTCAAAACTCTTCTAAGACACTAAAAATCACAGACTGAATAGACACACTGGATTTATGGCTTGTTACAAAAGTCTGTAACCCACTAAGCCCCTCTTTTTTTCTTATGACTGCAGAGGTGTTAAAGGTCCACTCTCCTTTAAAACATGTGTTAACTACCTATGCTAAACAATCTGTTCCACTTGCATTTAGCCATAGGAGTACCTTTCCAGACCTCAAGAAGAGTTTATAGGGCTCAAAAACTTGTTTCTCTCACTAACAGAAATTGGTTCAGTAAAAGATATTACCTCACCCATCTTGTCCTTCTAATATCCAAAAAGCAACAGGACTACAGCTACACTGCATGTAACAACAGAACTTGAGTCCACAGATTTGTTTTTGACAGACTAGAAAAGAACCCAAACTTCTCTATCTGGATAGAAGGCTGTTTTCTTCCTCTCCCATACCATTCCCATGATTTTACGATCATTCTGTAGGTATAGTATAGCCAAACTACTCAGCAGATCCACTGGGCCCTTTCCTTTCTCTCTTTAGCCAGTGGCCAGCAATAACTCAGATCATAGGACCGGCGCTCCAGCTAATTTCCTTTTTTTAAAGTTTCTTACTGATTCCTTGGAGCAATCAGATTAAGATGAGTGCAGAGACAAGGAAAATGGGCAGGGAAGGTTGAAAGGAAAGAACATGAAGGTCAAGGACTATGGTGAAGAGTTTAAGTAACAGGGAGGCCAGATCTGTTCTGCAGTAGCCACACCGGCTGAAACCGTCTTGCTCTCCGCTCTAAAGCAGTGCGGCAGCATGAGACAGAGCGTCCCGTCCCCCAAATGCACCGAGCACCTCAGCCCACCCCACAAGCTATTTGAAGGGGCTGAGAGCCTCCCCTCACAGGTTATCTGGAGGAAGGGAGCAGAAAAGGCCGGGGGGGGGGCAAAGGCTGACTCTGGCGGCGGGAGACGCTCTAGAAGGGGGAAATGCATGAGGTTGCAAGGGCTACCCCGTGGGCCGGAGGGGCTACCCCGTTTGCAGGGGGGTGGCTACCAGCCGGGCAGGGGCTGACCGTCTCCCCGGGCTGTGAGGGAGACATCCGGGGAGGGGGTGGGAATGCAAAACGTTAAGGCGGGGGCTGGCTTTTTCCCGGGGGGGGGGAGATCAGGGGGGTGCCGGGCGGCGCCGCAGCCCCCGTACCTCGTCCTCTCGCCCTCACGATCCCTTTCTTCTGCAGCACGAAGGTGGAACCGTTCACCAGGCTGGAGACCACGGCCACGCTCAAGCCCAGGGAGACGGCGGCGGGGCCGGGGCTCTGCGCGGCCCCTTCCGCCCCCGCGGCTGCACCCACCGGCATCCTCCTGCCCGGCAGCACCGCAGCGCTCGCGTCCCTCCCGCCGGCCCGCAACCGGCCGCACCAGCCGCCGCTCTGCGGGACCCGCCCCGAGCCGCACAGGCCCCACCCCCAGCCGCACAGGCCCCACCCCCGGCCACCGCGGCCGCGGGGCGGAGCTCAGGGGCCTCTGGCAGCCGAGACGCCGCAGTGGCTGCCGCGCCTTACGCCACCTCCCTTCCCCCGCGGCCCGAGGCGGCCAGGGAGGGGAGATGCCCCCTGGTAGCCGCTCTCCCTGAGGCGGCGGCCCGCACGTCCGGTCCGCAAACGCGCTAGGACCCTGGCGCCGCACTGCGCCGCGGCCCCACGGCGGAGTAGCATTATGACATCATGCTTGCAGCCTATGCTCATGTCATGGCGTCACACAGCGCTGGAATGTGGCGCAGCGTCGCGACGTCATGGTGCGGTGCCGCCGCCAAACCTCATGACGTAGCGGTGTCCTGGACCCGCTTCTGTTGGTGCCGGAGACCAGCTCTGGAGCTGCAGGAAGCTCTTTGGGTCTGAAAGAAGAGCTCTGGGTAGCTCCAAAATTTGTTCTTTTTCACCACCCGAAGTTGGTCCAGTATAAAATATTACCTCACCCACCTTGTGTCTTTATGTCCTGGGACCACCACTGCTACAACACTGTCATCAATTCAAATCTGCATCTATACTCTTAGGTTGGTGTTAATGGCCTGAGCATCTGAACACTACTCCCCTGTTAAAAAAAGACAGTGTGTCCCCCTCCTCCTTCACAGAAGGTTGGCATAAAATGCTTGACTAGAATTAAGGATGTTAAAGTTTTGTTTGCACACTGTAATTTTGAGGCCAGTGTCATGACACATTGGTGCACCCTGGAAGCCTGACTTATGCAGTGGGAGTCTCAGAATTATGTGTCCTGCTCCAATAAACCCTCTTCCTCACTTCCACCCAGATCCAGTCTAAGGTAAGCAGTGTAGAATCATTTATTTTTGTGTTAAATTCAATTTGCTTTCTCATCCTAAAACTTTTCAGTGTCTTGCACCTTTTTGAAAGGAAGGGAAAACTACATAGAAAATCACTCTCCCTGTAATGTTGTTGATGTGCTCCTGTTCAGGGCCTTCCCTGACCTTTCAAATTGACAATCTTGTAGCAGGCTGAAGTCTGACATTTGCTTTTAATGGAAGGTGTTACAGTAATACAAATAATAGTAACTTCTGACACCATCTCATCTGACCAGGGTAAAGAACCATAGAAATCACCTTTAGAGGTCAACTCACTGGCAGTTACAACAGTTGTTGGCCAATGAGTGCTGGGGTTACTCTTGAGTATACACAATGCCTTTGTTTTTTGTTTCTCCATTCACATAACAATAGCAATCTGCACATTTTAATAAACCAGTAACAGTATTTTTTCAATTAATGTGACATTTATTTTAAAAGAGATTGGTACACTGCAAGAAATCACATCACAAAATGCAAAGCTGTATAAAAATTCAATGAAATAGCTAGACTTCTAGGTTAAAATTGTCTTAGTAGGCAGGATGAAGAAAAGGAGTACTTGTGGCACCTTAGAGACTAACCAATTTATTTGAGCATGAGCTTTCGTGAGCTACAGCTCACTTCATCGGATGCATACTGTGGAAAGTGTAGAAGATCTTTTTATATACACACAAAGCATGAAAAAATACCTCCTCCCACCCCACTCTCCTGCTGGTAATAGCTTATCTAAAGTGATCACTCTCCTTACAATGTGTATGATAATCAAGTTGGGCCATTTCCAGCACAAATCCAGGGTTGAACAAGAACGTCTGGGGATGGGGGGTAGGAAAAAACAAGGGGAAATAGGTTACCTTGCATAATGACTTAGCCACTCCCAGTCTCTATTCAAGCCTAAGTTAATTGTATCCAATTTGCAAATGAATTCCAATTCAACAGTTTCTCGCTGGAGTCTGGATTTGAAGTTTTTTTGTTGTAATATAGCAACTTTCATGTCTGTAATCGCATGACTAGAGAGATTGAAGTGTTCTCCGACTGGTTTATGAATGTTATAATTCTTGACATCTGATTTGTGTCCATTTATTCTTTTACGTAGAGACTGTCCAGTTTGACCAATGTACATGGCAGAGGGGCATTGCTGGCACGTAATGGCATATATCACATTGGTGGATGTGCAGGTGAACGAGCCTCTGATAGTGTGGCTGATGTTATTAGGCCCTGTGATGGTGTTCTCTGAATAGATATGTGGGCACAGTTGGCAACGGGCTTTGTTGCAAGGATAGGTTCCTGGGTTAGTGGTTCTGTTGTGTGGTGTGTGGTTGCTGGTGAGTATTTGCTTCAGGTTGGGGGGCTTTCTGTAGGCAAGGACTGGCCTGTCTCCCAAGCTTTGTGAGAGTGTTGGGTCATCCTTCAGGATAGGTTGTAGATCCTTAATAATGCATTAGAGGGGTTTTAGTTGGGGGCTGAAGGTGACAGCTAGTGGCGTTCTGTTATTTTCTTTGTTAGGCCTGTCCTGTAGTAGGTGACTTCTGGCAGGATGTTTATTACTCTATGGCTTATATGTTATTCATCAGTCTTGATCAAATTTCCCATGCAAATAAATGCCCCTTTTGTGTGTCATGTATTTCAACATGACAGATATATTTTAGTAACACGACTGAGACTGTCAGGTTGAATTTGGCTTTATTTTGTGCAATGCATTAGATGTCTAATTAACATTCCTTGGCTTTAATTGGAAGTCTCTGGTCATGGTATTTGGGTCCTAGTAGACACAATATTGTGAGTGATGATGGACTGAATCTTCAGGTTTCTTCCTCAGGTCTGGTTTTATTTTGGCTACTACATTTCCTAGGTCAGGTTTTGTGTTTCTCACACCTGGGCTACAGTTCATAAAGAACCAGCTATTTACTTGACAAGAAGACTGGACACACTAACGTACAAACAAGTACCTTAGAAGCAAACTACATCTGACAGAACCAAACACAAATTGCAAGAAGTATTTTTAAATACTCTTTGTCTCAAGACAGTTTCTTCTCAGATAAGGTTGCATACCTAGTAGCTATATTTCACTATGCTATAACAATTATTTCAGCCTGTCTAGAAATAAGCTTTCAGAAGCTGTCTTAAAGTTCTCCTTCTTTATGAGATTCATTCTCTCTTAAATCACAGAAATAATAATTTGCTATCTTAACTTTTCTTTTGGACTTCCTGTGCCCAATTTCAGTATTGCCAACTCCACAAGTTTGAAAATTATGAGTCAGGCCACTGCAACAATGAGATTGGCCCGCAAAATCATGAGATTGAATAGTATTTTTTGACCTATCATCTGATTTTTCTTAATTGTCTCTGCCCACCCCAATATGTGCTTGATAATGACAGTGTCTTGCAGTTACATAGCAAGTAAGGTGATTTTGGCTCACACCCCAGGAGCTCTCACTAGAGGACCTGTGACAGAATGTACCCCTGTACTCACATCCTACCATTGAAATAATCATTGTACAAAATATGCCTTCTAAGATATCATTTGAGAACTCATAATTTGCGGGTCTCTATGGTCCTGATAAAATGGGTGGCAATATTGTATGTGGAGTTACAAGATTCCACTGTATAGTGTTATTAATACATGCTCCAAACTGAGGTTGGGAAACAAGTCTGTCTCAGCCAAAGAAATGTGTGCTCTTTTTAATTTGCATTTAAGCAATAAACAGAATCATTAAGCAGGAAGGGAAACAAAGGAACCTAAATAAAGGTGAGAAAAAAACAATATGGTACATCTTTCCACGTAGACCTTTTGTCTCCTGATACCCATCTGGAAATGTTTTTTCAAGAGGGCAACTGAAATTATAAAAAAGGAGAAACAAACACCTCACAGCACCCCCCTCCTCTCTCTGCCCATCAATTCACTACACCTGAAGGGACAAAATAAGTAGCCATTGGACTGGAGAAGTAGTCCTGACCTAAAAAGTTTGGTCGGTAAGACCGCTGAAAGCACGTGGCGAGAAAACAAAGCGTTAAATTCAAAGCAAAGTTAAGTTAGACTCCAGTTGCATTTTATCTTTATTTTTCTTGTAATCATTTCTGACTTTTTTGCCTTATTATCTATACTCAAAATCTCTCTTTGCAAATAATAAACTTGTTTTATCCAGTGTGTTTAAATTGAAGTGTGAGGAAAACTCCATTTGGGGTGACAAGTTGTCTGCATATCTTTTCCATTAAAGAAATAATGGACTTTATATAATCTGTACTGTCCAAGAGAGGGCTGGGCAGTACAGGACACACATTTCTGGGGGGAAATCTAAGACTGGGGGTGTGTTGGGGGTCACCCTGCAGTATAACCAAGGCTGGTGAGAGCCAGAATGTAATCCAGCTGGGGCTGGCAGGCTGCAGTTACTGACAAACACTTGTATGCTGGAATGCTGTTTGTGAGTGACCCAGGTAGGCTGCATGGCACCTTTTAAGCCATGGGGGGAGGATGGTGTATAGGCACAATGGATATTAAGTTCAATAGGGAGTTTGTGGGAGCATATGCTATTGAAAAGGAGTAATGGGTGCAGAAAGGAGCCCTTGAAGAAATGTCCCTTGCCTTTTCTTTAAATGCCAACTATGCACAGACTCCACTACAGTGAAATGAGCTTCACTCCTCAGACAGCAGAAAGACTGAAGTGAGTTGCTCCCTTTTATATATGGGTCCCAGCTGGAGCATGTCCAGCAGAGACAAGGGAGCATGGCCTCTTAGGCCCCCAGAGTGTGATTAACGCTTGCTGAACCAGTGCAGGGCTTGTACACCCCAGCACAACACCCTACACACTATTGTAATAATCTTTGTACAAGGTATGCCTTGGGAGGTGTCATTTGAAAACTCATAACTTGTTGATCAGTAATGGGTGCAGCACCATTATGGTATAAATTATAAATTTCCCCTTGTATGATGTTAAAAATACATGTTCAGACTCACATAGCACCAAGCTGGTCAAACAGACCTGTCCAGAACAAAGGAGTAGGTGTTTGCCTTAATTTGAATTTAAGCAAACAGAGTCATCAAGCATAAAGGGGAAAGGGAGGAAACAAAAGGAAACCTGCATGTGAAAAAACCCATCAGGGAACATCCTTCCACACAGACTCTTTGTCTCCTGGTTCTCGGACAGAAATGTTTTTCAAGAGGGGGACTGAAACAATAAAAAGGAGGGGTAAGAACCCCAAGAGACCCTTCTTCTCTCTCCCTGTTCATCTCACTCTTTGCACCTGA